AGCTCCGGTTCCTCCTCTGCCCGGAGCCTCTGCGGGCTGCTCGTCTCTAACCGCGGCTCGTGGACCACGGCAAGAAACAGCTTCAAACCTTCTACAGCCGCCTAGGTCCTCAAGTCAGTAGAGAAAAACCGGTTCGAAAGTGATCATGGTCTTACTGTTAAGAATCTCTGGTGACCTGAATCCACACAGTGACTGAGATAACACCATGTTTCTTTCTGCCAGAGTAACTAGTCCCAAAAATCAGTGTGACAGGCCCTCTGGCCTGGATGCTCCTAATGTCAGGTCCCCAAACAAGAGAGAGCAGAAAGGAGGATTATGCTTAGAGCTGATAAAGCAACAGTAGGTATTTGATGAGCAGTTCTATTTACTCTGTCCGCACGGCCAAAATAATGGGCCGGAAGAGCGAACCGTTTGGAATGTTTTTAGTGTAGAACAGTATGAGTCACCTCTTATATACTGTGGTGGCCTTCTGATATCTGTGGGTCTATTTATTTAATTAAAAATAATACCAGCACATGGCATAAAAATATATAACATGCCAGAAGTTATAAAATAAAAATCAAGTTAACCCCATGTTAACAACTGCATGATTATCCCTTGGGAATGATTTCTGTCCTTTATTTGGCATGGACACCGCACCCCCTTTCCATGTACCTGCCTGGGGTCACTCTAACAAGGCTCGGCAACACGCCTCAGCATGTGTACTGTAAGTCACAACGTCTTTGAGACTGCAGGCCGCGGCCCTGTTCCCCGCACACTGTTCTGTCACATGGCTGTGACCCGAGGCACTGAACGAGTCCCCACTGACAGACAGTCACCAGGTTTGCAGGTTTGATTATGCACTCAAAACAGTGGCACACACAGCCCTGTGTGGACATGGATGGGGGGGGGGGGGGCGCGTATGTGCGTGTGTGTGTGTGTGTGTGTGTGTGTGTATGTACATGCGTCTGTGTGTGTGTGTGTCCTTATGAGTCTATCTATTGGATAAAGTCCCACCATATCACCATATGTTTCTTTTTATTTTATTACTTTCTATTTTATTTAATCCTCACCCAAGGATATTTTTCCTTTTTCTCAGATAGAGTGGAAGAGAGGGAGAGAAAAAACATCAATGGGAGAGAGACACACCAACTGGTCGCCTCCCGCACAACCCCAACCAGGGCCGGGGACAAACTGCAACCGAGGTACGTGCCCTTGATCGGAATCAAACTCCAGACTCATCGGTCCACAGACCAACCTCTCTAACCGCTCTAACCGCTGAGCCAAACTGGCCAGGGCCACACATGTATTCTAAACTTGAGTGGACGCAGCTAAACTGCCTTCCAAAGAGGCTGTTCCAATTTAATTTTTTATTGATTGATTTGAGAGAGAAAGAGAGAGGCCGGGAGAGTGAGAGAGACATCAAACTGTTGTTCTACTCGCTTATGCATTCATTGGTTGGTTTTGTATGCACCTGAGCAGAAATCAAACCCACAACCTTGGCATATCAGGATGACGTTTTAACCTACTGAGCTACCGGCCAGGGCAAGGCTGTTCCAATTTATACTCTCAATACTACAGCATCTTGCCTCACACCTTGATTATTGAGAAGTATAGATTTTCATCTCTTGTAAGACAGAGATCGAGTTTCTTCTTTCATGTCTATCTATATCTATATTTATCTATATATGTGTGTTTATATGTATATATATATATATAGATAGATAGATAGATAGATACAGATATAGATCTGTTTCTATATTTATATTTATATTTATATTTATCCTGGCTCTGCCTGCCAGGATAAATAGATATATAGACATAGATACACCGAGAGAGAGACCGATACATAGATCATTTTTGCTTATACATTTTGGCCACCTGTTTGGGGGAAAGTTTGCTTATTTATGTATAATTCCTGGATATTGAGGAATTAGCCCTCTATTTATAATGCATAATGCCAAGTGTTTTTCCTAATTTGCTGTTTTCTACTTTGTTTCTGGAATTCTTTCCAAACATAAAGCATTTGTGGTTTTTATTTTTTCACTGTCAAATTTATCCACCGTTTTCTTTATGGCTTCTGGGTTTTGTGTTGTGCTTAGAGAGGTTTTTCACACTGCAAGATTACAAACAGATTCACTGTAAGGACTTCATAAAACAAAATTTCAGGAAAGTGAAAACAGTGGTCTGGCAACCACAAGCTTCTTCTAACAGAACACTAGCTGAAATGCATGGGTGCTAAGCTGGAGGCGACACGGGGTCCCTGATCCCATCTGCACGGTCGTTATTCCCACGCAGGTGGAAGAAGGTGCTGCTTAGCTGCACGATCGGAAACTCCCCAAACCCTGACAGCTCACAGACACACACATCTGCACCCATTTCCTGGGCACGCCCAAGGCTGTGTTTCCATGACACTGGGGAGGTGGATGCAGACACGGCACCTGAAAGGTACACGTGTTTAAGACGGCCACTCGAGTTACTGTCTAAAGTGTGCAAGGCAGAGGAGGACCCTCAGCCAAGCGTAAGGGCTTTTATGAGAAAAACAATCCAGGTTTTGTTCTCTTGTTTTGTTTTTAAATCTTCACCCGAGGACACTTTTTTCCATTTATCTTCTGATAGAGTGGGAGAGAGAGAGAAAGACACAGCGACTGGTTGCCTCCTGCACGACCCGAACAGGACCAGGACTGAATTGCAATCGAGATACCTGCCCTTGACCGGAATCGAACCCGTGAGTCTTTGGTCTGCGGGCCAACGCTCTAGCCGCTGAGCCACACCGGCCAGGGCGCAGGTTGTGGTTTTTAAGATCATCTCTTATTAATCCCCTATTTTGCTAGAAACGACCCAGAAAGGGTTATTCTATGATAGAGGAAGACAAAACAAATTCATCAACAAAAGTCAACAGAAACACCACCTTTGATAGAGTGGAGGTAAAACTCAGCACAGGTACACGTCATCCAAAACGGGAGTGCGTGCACATGTGTGCGTGTGCACACGTGTGTCCTTGTCTGGCCGCAGAGCGCGCGCAGCCGAGGTAGAAAGGGGTGTAAAAGCTAGTCTAACACCAGTTGTGGTTTCTTTGTGACACCCTAACACTTCCTAGCAAACTTGATGGAAAGAGTTATTTTTTAAACATATTTTTAGTGTACATGTAAAAAGTGAAAGAGTTAGCATATGCTGAACCATCTTTTTCAGTCAAACACAAAATAATAAAACAAGTGAAGTTTACAAATCCAAAATACCTTGCTTCTACAGTAATTCCCAATTCCAGACACCGTGGCTCTCGCTAAATCACAAGGTGCTTTCTTAAAATGCAAATTCCTGGACCCCATTCATATCATGCTTCAGCTTCTCATGAAAGGCCCAGACATCAGCATTTTTAAAGCTCCTATAATGACTATGGTTTGGGAACCACTGCTCTGTAGAAACAGTGAACCGGTTTTTTGCAGGTGGGCTCCATCCTGCCTTGGGCACGGGCTTCCACATCTGCCCCTTACTATGTGGCACTGTGCGGGTCACTGCCTGGACAGGACAAACGCCACTGTGCCTGAGGGGCCAGGTCATGCCATGGTGTGTGTACGTTCACGTTCAGGGTGCCGAATCATTTCACTCCGCCAAACACCTGGCCCTCCCTCAAGGCGGGGCTTAGCACAGTGGAAATTTTGTTCATGAACGCAGGGAAATAAAAAAGAGAACTGACCTCTTCTTTGGCTTAGAGAAGGCCTAGATTTAATAGATTAAATAGAAAAAACTCAGCCTTTCTAATTCTAAGATGAAATAAAAGGCAAGATCTACTCTTTCTGCCCAGCAAGAAAATGAGTGGTTTCAGCAGGATAAACAGAAACTATAAAAACCAAGAGAAACCGTGGTCTCTAAAGGTCAAATTAACATTAATTCTTGCTGACGAAAGTAAGATCAATGCTGAGTCGGACAAAAATGTCTCAGCTCATCATGCAGCCACTGAAAAATGAGGATAAATTATAATTACCATTAAGTGGAAAAGAAGACCTCGGAAGGCAGCCCGGCCAACGCCAGCAATGCGTTCTGTTGAGCTCATCACTGTGTTTAGGTTCAAGATGTTATTGGACAGAATGTTTAGGAGTTTTTAAGCCTCTCTAATATAATTTTCAACAAGAAGAATTTGTGGTAGTTACAGTACCCACAATTTAATTATAGCCAGATGCTCTTCCCAATTTTTAAACTTATTTTTAGCCCACCACATGGCTCCGGCAGAAACTGAAAATCAGACTTAGTTTTCATCACATATGCAGAGTGAAAATAGTAACACTTGGTGTAGTTTGTGCAGATTATTTTTTTTTTTTTAGGAAAGCAATAGAATGCACTGTGAAATAACATAGTTTAAAAATGCTAATGGTACAACCTACAGTATCTACAAGTAAGTAAGAAGGATAAAGAGAAGCAACGCGGCCACCAGCCTGGATATTCCGTAGCAGTTGGTTTAGCAGCTTTTATTTTAAGACTTTAGACGTGTTTTATCTAGAATCAGCTGTCAATGAAACAGCATGAGCGCAAACATTTCTTAAAATTCATTTTTATGAATTGTTACAATAGCTGACCAAACTGGAAAACGCTTGACGTCTCTCACACGCACACGCGCACACCCTCTGGCTGTAGGGGAAGCAACAGGCTGCCTTTGGTTGTGTTTGCTTTGTCTGTTGTCTGAATTTGCTCAGATGGCAGGAGGCGGATGTGTGGGCAGGTGGATAAACACCAATCAGCAGAGCTGAGTTCTCCCATCTGTTACGTGAGAATTGTTGCGATGACCTGCAAACTCAGACCTTAAAGTCAATTTATTTGCACTGAACCTGAACGAAGCCTTCCTCGTCTCTAGTGGAAAATACAGGAGGAGGCATTCCGGATTGTCCAGAATCCGCATGTGAGGACGTTCCAGAAACCTTCTGTTTTGCACTAAAGTCGTCTTCAAAAATTCACATCCAGAATCACTTACAAGGAACAGGAGAGCAAAGCGTTTACTGGAAAGCTAGAATCGAAGATCAACTTACCGGAGATGTGGTTAATCGAAGGATAGTGCCATTTTTTATTTCATTGCGATTCTGGGAAAGAAAAAAAAAATCTTAGTAAATCTTCAAATAGGAGCTTGGGAAGAAGAGAACAAACACAAGTATAATTTAGTGACGTCTATAAGCATTCTTCTGATTCAGTTTATCTTCACTTGAAGAATTTTTAAGTGTTTCTACAAAGAACTGTAAACTGGCTCCCAGATGTGCTAACTTTGTATCAAGTCACCGACAGCGTTCAGCCCGAGGAAGTGGATACACGTCCAAAGTGGGGGAATGTGGGGCCCAAGAACAGCAAACAAACAGAAGCAGTTTGAAAGATTTTTAAGGGACTATGACCTAGTAATTCTACTAACGCAGGCGTGGACAAAAGTAGGTTTACGTTTGGGAGTACGCAAAACACAGAGCTAATAACGCTCTCCTACTGATCATCACCTGCATGTCTTTTCCCATACAAACAACTGTAAACCTACTTTTGCCCACCACTGAATATACACAAGACAATTGAAAACATATGTCCACACAAAAATGTGCACATGAATGTTCATAGAGACATTATTTGTAATACCCAAAAAGTGGAGAAACAACCTGACTGTCCACGAACTGAGGAATGGATAAATAAAATGGCATACCCACTCGATGGAATATTACTCAGCCATGAAAAGGAATGAAGTACTGATACATGCTACAACATGAACCTTGAAAACGTTACACCTCGTGAAAGAATCCAGATAACAAAGGCTGCATCCTGTACGATTCCACTATATAAAATGTCCAGAACAGGCAAATCCACAGACAGGAAGCCCATTCGTGGTTTCCGAAGGTGGGGGGAGGGGAGGACAAATGAAGCTAGAAGCTAATGGGTACAGGATTTCTTTTCTGAGTGATGAAAACATTCTAAAATTGATCGTGGTGATGGTTTCACAAATCTATGCATAGACTAGAAACCACCAAAGTGAACACTTTTAAAAGGTAAATTTCGGGGAGTGTGCATTATTTGTGAATAAAGCTGTTATTTTGTTTAAGGTTCTTAAGGAGCTTGGTGTTTTATCATTTGTTACCTCCCACTGCATGGTGCCTGAAAGTTAAGAGCAAAGAGCAGACAGGAGCAGATTCCAGATCAGTCTGTCCACTGGGCAGGTACATTCAGGTGAGTGTTTGGAAGCTCGCAGCATCTCTGGCACGGACGGACGGTAGAGTTTGACAGGCAGTTTTATTTTCTGCCACCAGAGTATGCACCATACTCAGCTTTCAGGAAGAGACCACATGGGAGTCACACTTCTGCATCCCCTACCTGGCAGCAGCGAGGCCAGGAGGTGAATAGAGTGTCCTGAGGCTCACCTCCTGCCTCATTCGAGACACGCCACAAGCTAGGATTTGCTCAGGATGCAGCAGGCACACCAGGTGGTGGGAAATGTCTCCGGACTAGATGCCAAGGACACGTAGAACACTCGCTCTCCCTCAGGCTTTGGGCCAGTACTGTCTCCCAAAGGAAACCTAACCTGAGCATTTCCTACCGAACACAGGCAGGCCTGTGGAACGAATCCCTCCTTGGGTAACGCCAGCCCGATCTAGAGCATCCCCTTGAGAAAGCCACCTACTCCTCACCGCAAGGGTGCAGGTAAGGGCTGGAGGACCACCCGCAGCCAGGCTCAGGTATGAGATGGTGGAATACATTTCAGTCATGTAAAAAAATCTCCTTTCACCTCTAGAAGTCTGACTCCATCAGAATTGGAGAGGAGGAGAGCATACACTAATTATAAAATATTAAAGAGGCTAAAGTCATAGCCTATCTCTTCCCAGCTCCATTTCTAAATGAATTGAGACATAGAATCAGAAGATGAAAAACTACAGTAACCCATTTATGAGTAATTACGGAGAACGAGGCTCGGAGCGAGAACCAGCAGACAGCAAACTGAACCCTCAGATTAGATAGATAACCTGTTGAGGAAAACGAAACCAGGCTCCTTCCCAAGAGGAGAAAGAGGTCTAGTTTATTCTGCTCAAATAAGCAGTCAAGTAGGGAAAGAGTCTCGGGGGGCCTGGGGGTATGAAGAAGCCAGCAGGATTGAGCAATAATCTCTTCATAGAAATTTAGAGTGAGGATGAGGCATTCCTGATAATAACAAGAAACTAACATTTGTTGAAAGGCACCTGGCTGAGGTTTTTGTTTTTTTTGTTTTGGTTTGGTTTTTAGTTGCAATGCTGATTTAACCATCATCATAACTCTTCCCATTTTATTATTATTTTTAAATTTTTTCTTTATTGATTTGAGAGACGGGGAGGGGTGGGGAGAGATCGAAACATCGGTGAGAGAGAACACTGATCGATTGGCTGCCTCCTGCATGCCCCTCACTGGGGACCCGGTCCACAACCCGGGCATGTGCCCTGACCAGGAACCGAACTGGGTCGTCGCTCAACCACTGAGCCACACCAGCTGGGTCTCTTCCCATTTTAAAGGTAAGAAACCAAAGCTGGCCCAGAGGAGAAGTTACTTGCCCAAGGTTACGGAGGGGGAGGGGAGGACTCTGTCTCCCCCAGACCGAGCTCAGGGACTCAGTCTCTCTGTGGAGTGGATAATAAGCTCTGCAGAAAACACGCTTCTTATCTCCCCAAATTAGGAATAATTTCCTGGTCAAAAGCTTCCCTTCTACCTCTCTTCCTGTTACTTAGTAAAGAAAACAGGTCAGAGGGGAGGGGACATGTGTGACCCACAATGCAAGCCCCCGGAGGGCGGGCAGCTCCACGGATTCCTCTGTCCCACCCTCCACCCCCACATGTGGCGAGATCACGACTGTGCACGTATCACTATGGAACGAAGCGCTCTGGGTCCCTCATGTCCACTGCTCAGGCGTCACAAAGACTGAACTTGCATGGAAACCCGAACCTGTGCGGCCTCTGCATCCACCTGGGTGATCCCGGCATCTTCCCATCTTCAGGCTGAAGGAAATAACGGGACAGCATAGGACATGCCGGTTGCTAGGTGACGGAGCAATGCCTCCAGACAGAGGACTACAGGTCTGACATTTAAGGAGGGACGTTAGCAATACCCTAAAGTAAATCTGAACCCCCAAAGCCAGGAGGAAAGGGCTGAGCGGTGCGGTGAGGAAGAACAGGGATGGAAGGGCGGGAGGCTGTCGTCAATGAACATTCCCAGCAGGGATGCTCTGGCCTCCCCGGGGTCACTCACCATCAGGGACAATGCCCCGCCACCCCTCTACAGCTTCGGCAGCTCATTCATCTCCACCCATCCACTGCAGGACTGGGGTTTGACTTCATTTCCACTCTTTTCCTGCCCCTGACTAGATTCTCTCCTCCGGGGTTGTATTTCTCAGGTCCTTCACTTCCCCAACACTAGAAACCCTTAGTACAAGCCCAACATCGAAGGAAGAAAGAATACAGAGAACCGAGGAGGGTATCTGCCGGCTGCCTGTGTGCAGGTGTGAACGCAGAGCGGGATGGGGGGTGGGGGGGGCCTGTTCCACGCGCAGGCTCGCTGTCCTCTCAGGACGGGGACCTGGGCCGAAGGCGTGGAGAGAGGGGGGCAGGAGCGCGCCGGAGCCCAGTCTCCCGGAGGCAGGGAGCGCGAGGGGAGGCCCGGCAGAGAACGCCTGCCCCCTCCGCATGTTAATCAATAGAAGATAGAGACGAGATAAATATAGAGAGATAAAGAACCGTATGCTAAGGACATGCTTACCAAGGGGCATGAATTATTGAATGCTCACTATAGCGGGGGAGGCACCCATTTAGAAAGGCAGGGACGTTGCCTGCTTCCAGTAACTTCACTTGGCAAGAGTGAGCACCCACCCACCCACCCGTCTTCAGTAGGTGCCCAGGGCCCTGGACCAAAAGCTCAGGTAGAACCCAAGGCATGTCCGTGTGCCTCTACAACCCAGAGTAAGAAATGCCTGCATCCAGCTCCTTGAGAAGAATGGAAGGTCATCATTTAGACACGAGTCTGGACTGAGCCTTGAGGTCCAAGGAGCCAGTCCCTTGGGCACAGCAGGCGATGGGGGCAGTTTCAGCCGTCTGGGGTCGGCACCAGCCCTGGCACGGTGTGCCCACCGGGAGGCTGAGGACGCGTAGTAATAGTCTCTCTCGCTGCAGGTGCCGTCCTGGGAGAACAGTGAGGCTGGGGGGTGATGGGCCAGCAGGGGTCTGGGAGTCCAGAGGGGAGGAAGCCCCCGGCTGGGCCCGGGCCAGCTAACCTGCCAGGTAACCTTGGCAAAGTCAAGTTGCTTTTGTTTCCTCATCAACAGAAGAGAGGCAAGAGCCAAAGGTCATCTCCTAGATTCTCTTCAACTCTTGAAAAAATATACAAAGAAGAGCCATTGAAGGCGTTCGAGCAAGATGGCTGATGGGGAAGGAGGTCTTCGGAGAGGGAACCTGCCAGCAGCAGGACCCGAGCGGGAAGGGAGAGAGCCGGGGGTGGGGGGTGGGGGTGAGCCCTGGGCTGGTGCAGACCGGCTGCCAGGGGCACCGCATCCCGCACCCGGGGCGCCTCCTCGGTCAGGGTGCAGGCTCCAGCCCACACTGCTGGTCTGAGCACCTGCAGTCCCCACGCTCCCGATCAGAAAAGCTAACGAAGGAGAAGTTCGGTGACAAGGGCACGTGCCTTTCCTCCCAGACATCACGGGAGGAGAAGAAAGCGGGGCACGTTTTTGGTGGGTGACTTTGTAAGGTTCAACGAAAGCCTTAACAACGTTCGAATTCCACCCATTCTTTCCTACAAAACATCAGAGATGCAGACATGACGAAAGATGCCCACTGTCACCTTTTTAAACAACGGAGACAGAATAAACCAAAAGCACATCCAAGTATTTCCTTCCTTCCTTCCTTCCTTCCTCCCTCCCTCCCTCCCTCCCTCCCTCCTCCCTCCTTCCTTTCGTTGTCGTTAAGTCAAAACCAATCTTTCCTGGCCCCAGTGCACAGTAAGACTGAGGGGCCCTGCACGCATCTCCCTTTGCCACCTGGGAGAACGCTAAGCTCCCCCATACCGGGCACTGCAATGCCCCTGCCCGGAGGACCCTTCCAGT